AACAATGCCCCTTCGTGTGTATTCACCTCGTCTGTTATTTCAGTGGCTTGTCTGGAGTCTGAAATGGAGACCCACTGAGGTTTTTCTGGCTGGGGCTGGTTGGTTTTATGAAGCTGGGGCATCAAACGTGGCACCTTAGGCATTCTCGGCAAGTACTCTATTACTGAATTACACTCTCAGCCCCAACTACATGGGTGGAGGCTGGGGCAGGCCACCATGCTTTCTTCCTCCCCAAACACGTCGGTGGAGGTACCTGTCTCAGCCCCTCAGTGCTGAGGGTACAGTCTGGCACGGCCATGTTTGGAATTTTGCTTTCTAGTGTATGGAACTCAGGCCCTCAGCTTGCACCCTCAGCCACTGCACCATGGGGGTAGGAGGTCTTCTAAAATCTACTTCTTGTTTGAGGGCACTTAATCTTAATTTTTTTTGGGGGGGGGGTTTGTTTGTTTTTCGAGACAGGGTTTCTCTGTGTAGTTTTGGTGCCTGTCCTGATCTCACTCTGTAGACCAGGCTGGCCTCGAACTCAGAGATCCGCCTGGCTCTGCCTCCCGAGTGCTGGGACTAAAGGCGTGCGCCACCGCCGCCGGGCTAATCTTAATCTTTCTAATGCAGATCTGTCAAAGGAGGTCGAACACCCAAAACCACAAGCCTCTCTGGAAACTATTAGGAGGCAAGAAGAGAAAAGGGAAGATCAAGAAAAGAAAGTCATTCCACCAGAAATCGAGCCAATTACAAGGGGAAGCGAGGCCCCCGCAGATGCAGAGGGCGAGGTCCCGGCCAGCGAAGTGGCTGAGGTGGGCGAGGTGATCGAGGTGGGAGAGGCCGATGATATGGAGCACGGGCAGGGCGTTAACAAGACCCCTCGGCCACGAAAGCACTACTCCTTCACCGAGGCCACCGAGAACCTGCACCACGGGCTGCCCACGTCCTGCGGGCAGGCCTCGGGCAGCCCACGCTGCCGCCACGGCGTGAACAAGCACCGCAGTGACCAGGAGCTGCGGCTGGAGTCTGCCGGCTACGAGCCCTCATTCGGCAAGGCCGCCAGGGCCAAAGCCAAGGAGACAGCGTTCCGGGACAAGAAGAACAGCCTCATGGAGGAGCTGTTCGGCACAGGCTTTGCGGACAGGGATGACCCCACCAATGACCCCACCAATGGCAAGGCGGCCAGCAAAGCCCAGCAGCTCGGGCCTGGCCAGGCCTCCGCCAGCAACGCCTTCGGGGACTCCAGAGCCACTGTGGTGCGGTCCATCCAGGCCTCACCCACCGAAGGAAACAGGAAAACAGTTATTTAAATGCAACAGTAGCTTAAAACATCCTGGTTTATATACTAGTTACATGCCTTTAATCTTATTTACCATGTGAGGGCTTACATAGTGTGTTTTAGTACTTCGGTGGGCTGTGGGTAATTTGGGTAATTTGCTTTATTGCTATCTAATAAAATAATCCAGTGTATCTTGATCAATGGTAACATTTTAAATACAAACTTGCATCTCTACTATGAAGGCGGAACATGTCCACTCTTCAGGAAGACCAGTTTATTACAGAGCTTGGAGATCTGGGACTCAGAGCGACTCTCGGTCAGCAGGACTGTTGTCAAAACTGCATGGAAGCACTGGCCAGCAAGATCGCCAGCACTCAAAAGAGACAGTACAGAGGTTCAAGTGTGGCCTCACGAGTCACTGCTGCTGGCCTCTTGCTCAGCTGAGCTGCAAACATCTAAATGGCCTGCCTCTGTGAGCCCCTCTGTGCCTGTATGAGAGTCTCTATTTTTTGTTGTCGAGATTTATTATTTTGTTACATAATGACCTTTTCTCTTAATCTTGTTCTAAAACAACTGTATGCTCAAGCTAGCTGCTCAGGACTGACAGTTTTTGTTGGAGCTATAAAGGATCTGAATTCCCAGCCTACACTGTGTGACTTGCCTTCATTTATCTGTAAAAGCAACTTATTCCTTATCTGGAATCAGCCACATTGTCTCCAAATATTTATGGGCTAGTGTATAGTAACAATGTCTCCAAATGTTTATGGGCTAGTGTATAGTAACATTGTCTCCAAATGTTTATGGGCTAGTGTATAGTAACATTGTCTCCAAATGTTTATGGGCTAGTGTATAGTAACACCTTTACAACTTTGAACAAGGCTAAGTATGAGGGGGATGCTGCTGCTGGGTACGGCTGCTCTCACCTGTGTCAACACTCAAGAGGCAGAGGCAGGGTGATCTGAGTTCCAGGCCAGCCAGGGCTACACAGTAAGACCCTGCCTCAAAAAAAATTAAAATTAAAATAATAATAATAATGATTTTGGTTTCTCAGATTTTTTTTCCTTTTATAATTTTTTAAACTGCATACACACCAACATTCATAAACATGGACCATCTGGAGAACCCCGAGAAGGAGGAAACTGGAGCCTGGGGAACCACGGCAGAGCAGGAAGACAAAGCACGCTTTCTGCTGCACCTCTTCCTCGTTAGTCCAATGTTTATTACTGTATTATTAATACGATTCTGGGGGAGACATGGTGATGTCCCCCACTCAGTCTTAACATTGTACACACGGGGGACACTAACAGTCTCACACACATTATGCATGTGGGGGCCTAACATTTGAGAACAAACTAACCCTTCTGTCACCTTTTTCCTGCAGGGTCAGTCGGAATCACACACCCTTTGAGAGGCTTATGGTCTGGATGCCAACTCTGGCTGACTAAATGATGCACCATTCCAGATTGCAGCTCACTACAAAAAGGACCAAGGTGCATCCCTTCCCCCTCCCTGAGTGCTGAACCCCTGGAGTGAGCCAAATTCTGCAGCTTCCAGTGCCGCTCCAACCTCCTCAGGTCCTGGACTAATCTTCTGTAGTCCAAGTGTTTCCTGTGTGGTGAGGATGCCGGAGCTGGTGGGCAGGTCCACTTTGTCTACGCATACTGCTGCACTCCATTTGTGCCCTTTATAGCCAACTAACCTTGGTACCATGAATCTACAGGGTTGGCTGCATTTAAATCAGTGGACCCTCAAGCCTGCTCTGGTGGTACTCCATCTGACAACAGACCAAAGGGCCACACTCAGCCTGTTCACAGTACAGTCAAAAAAACACACTATTTATGAGCTCATTAGGAAACATAACAATATAAATATGATCCTTCAAAACCCAGTGCTATGCCTTTGATCCCAGAAAGTGGGAGACAGAGACAAGAGGATCTCTATAAGTTGCAGGTCAGCCTGGTCCAGTGAGTGCCAGGACAATCAGAGCTGTGCAGAGACATGTGATAGCAGTAGCTTTTCTGTGCTCTGGTTCCCCAGAGTCTAGGACCACAGCCTGGCAAATACTGTAACTAGGAAAAGTGCTTCAAAAACAGACTTGGAGCTAGGTGTAGCAGCACACACCTTTAATCCCAGTATTTGGGAGATAGAGGCAGGTGGATCTCTGTAGGTTCAAGGCCAGCCTGGTCTATGTACAGAATTCCAGGATAGCCAGGACTACATTGAGAGACTATGTCTCAAAAAAACAAAAACAAAAATACCCAGACTTGGCAGAACTCTGCCTTGTAACTTCATGAGCCAAATGAGTCTCGGTTCAAATGAACTGGATCAGACCCCACCTTGCTTAACTCTGTTCCACACTATACAGCATAGAGACCCAATGCTTTAAAGACATACTTCATTTGAAAGGCTTTAAATAAAAACAATATAACGTGGTCTCATGGACACACATAGGAACCACTATGAAAAATTAACAGGCTTAGCTACATGGTGATGCTTTACACACATTTACGGCCCAGCAAATGGCATTTAAACAGGAGGACGAGGACAAACAGCATCCACTGGTGTCACTTTCAGCTGAACCTCACGAATTAAAAAGCAGAGTTCTAGTAGTGATATTTTTTTCTAATTTTCTAAAAAAAAAAAAAAAGTGTTTTTTTTTTTTTTTTCTAAAATTAAAAACGGCATTATTGGAGTTGTTAGAAAAGTCTTGGCAGCTGGCAACATAACCAAACCATGCCCAGAGCAAGTGCCAGCATGCAAATGCCACCTGATGGTTCACAGTTCATATGGATCCAAAACTATGTCAGCGATACGTAAGTGTCATAACTGGTCTCTTTCTGGCTCAGTGACAACAAGTGTAGGAAATCCTGACTCAGACAAGACTCCCAGGTGAAGAGCAAAAGCAAATATGTTCCCAAACACAAAAACAAGCCCCTGTGGACGTCTGTGCAATCAGCTCTTTACCCTGTGGAAATCCTTTCTGCACAGTCTTGTAGCTGCACATGTCCCCTCAGCTGAAAGGGTGGAGGACAACAGCCACAACTTTGTTACAGACTAAAATCCAACAGGTGATTCCGATTCCACCTAAAAGAAAGAAACTCATGTCAGAGGATACATACATCAACGCACAGGGAGGAAGGTGCTGAGGGGTAAGAAAAGGACCTCACGACTACAGATCACACACAGGGTGCACTGTGCACCAGGCTGGACCACCCTGAACAACAGACACAGTCCTAGCATTCCTTTGCTGCCAGAGATGTCAATGGGTATATAATAGACTGTAAGAACACCTTGTACCACTATTTCTTTTTCACATCCCCCAAAAAAGCATTAAAAAGCTGGCGGGCGGGGCAGGCGCATGACAGAGCACAGCTAAACTGAAGGTCTTTCAATAATGTATTTCACTACAGTATCATCACACATCAGAACCTATGACTGGCAAGAACATACACTTTGTTTTTTTACAGGCTCTTACACTTAGTCCACAATGGCCTTGAACCTGCAGCAACCCACATGCTTTGGCCTCCCAGAGGCTGGAATCACAGGCATGATGAGCCACCGTATCCAGCAGTATTATCTCTACTAGTAAAAATAGTGTCCTAACAGGAAAATTCAAATAACAAGAAAATTCTTTGCCAAAAAAATTTTACTGACAGAGTACTGTGACCTACATGTTTGTACCCTAATTCATATGCTTAAGTCCTGACCCTGGGGACAGCATTAGTCAGGGCCTTTGGGAGAGGCTGAGGTCATGGGTCAGTCTTAGGAAGAAGCTTACACAGTACAGTGTTAACATTTCCTCCTCCTACCCAAGGACCCTTGAGAGGGTGCCATTTGTCAATCACAAAGTGAGTCCTAATGATACCAATGTATGGCACCTTCACCTTGGATTCCAGTCATCAGAAAGCGTATCTGTTTAAGTTACCTGCTGTGGAACAATCTTTGTACACTGTAAATATTTACTGCTCTCATTGTTAATAAAAAGCTGATTGGCTGGTAGCCAGGCAGGAAGTATAGGCGGGACAACCAAACTAAGGATGCTGGGATGAGAAAGGGTGGAGTCAGAGGGTCACCAGTCAGACACACAAAATGACACACAAGCCACCAGCCTTGGGGCAGCATAGATTAATAGAAATGGGCTAAGCTGTAAGAGCTAGTTAGTAACAAGCCTGAGCTATTGGCCAAGCATTGATAATTAATATCAAGCCTCTGTGATGACTTTGGAGTGAGTGGCTGGACAGGAAAACTCTGCCTACAGTTACCCACTGTGGTATTTTATTATAGTAGTCTGAACATAAGAGACACACAAGCAAGTGGAAAGGGCATAAAATGATTCAAACCAGGTGACCTTGACCATTTTAAAACAGATGGCAAAGACAGACTGGAAGAAACAGACCACAACTGGGGTTATCTGTAACTGGCAGGATTCGCAACCCCCACTCCCACCCCCGGCTTTTTTTCTAAGTAGCTCTGGCTGGTCTGCAACTCCCTATGTAAACCAAGTGGGCCTTGAACTCACAGAGATCCTCTTGCCTGTCTCCTGAGTGCTAGACTAAAAGTACACACACAAGGCAACTGGCATGATTCTCTAAAAATTGTTCCTATGTTGCCAGAGCACAAATTGTTCCTATGTTGCCAGAGCACGGAGGAGCACATCTTTAATCCCAGCGGCACTGGGAAGGCAGAGGCAGGCAGATCTCTGTAAGCTTGAGGCCAGCCTGGTCTACAATCAAGTTCCAGGCCAATCAGGGCCACACAGTGAAACCCTGTCTCAACCACCCCTCAACCCAAAAACTCCTATGTGTCTGCTCATTCTTCAATGACACAAACAACCTCTAACATCCAAAGCAACAGCCAACAGCAGCAAGTTACTCAGTGTGGCAGCCACAGGGAAGAGAAGGTGGCCTCTGAGTGCCGGGGCTGTAACCCTGCTCCTGAGCATTCAAGTGACCTGCAAGCAGCTTCTCTAGACTCCAAAAGGCTGGGGGTGGGGGTGGGGGCCTTGCTAAGAGGACAACGCCAGGCAGTCTAACCTCCCACCACACACCTCTACCACCTACCTGCTACTCGAGTAGGAAAGGCTACCAGGCGGTCTAGCGGGGTGATCCACTTGCTGGGCACCACAGCCACAGGGACGGAGTAGTACTTCCAAATGAGCGAGACCATCAAAGCTGCCTAGAGAAAGATGTGGTGAGTGGCAGCATCACACCCTACCTAGTCAGTCCTCACAGTGAACACACACACACACACAGACACGGACTTGAGACAAAACTTAAGACACTGGTGACAGGGAGGTGGGCCGTCTCGTGGGACTGGCATTTTACCCTTTAACACAGAAGCCATACATTCACTATTTAAGTTAGCTGAGTCCGCCCACAATGTCTCCTGAGTAGCTGAACTACATGCCAAATATAAAAGCAGTCATGACTCCAGGATCCTATAACCACAGTTCTCCCCACACACACGCTGGTGTTCCATGAGAGGTGATCCCTCTGCCACACCCATCTGTTTCTAGCTGGTGAAAACTAATGTTTTACTTCTTGCCCTTTCCCAGAAGCAACTTCTGCTGCCCCAAACACTCTCCAAGTGAGTAGACCTGAGGATGTGCCAGGTGCCTGGGTCTCCGTGGAGCAGAGCTTATCAAGTAAGAGTACCTTGAGCCGGTTCATTCCGCCTTTCTCTAAACCTTATCTTTAGGGGAGCTGGCACGAGCGCTTCACCTCAGCAAAGACCCACACAGACCACTAAAACCCCAGGTCCCTCAGGTAGCTGCTGACACACCCGTCAGCCATCTGTGCAGTCGCAGCCTCATGTCGGCAGTTCCAACAGTCATCCAGGAAGGTAGGAACACCAGGGGCCAAGAATTGAGAAAAACGAGTGGGTGGGCTAGAGATGACTCAGCATTTAAGAGTACTGCCTGCTCTTCCAGAACCCAGGTTCAATTCCCAGCAACCATAGGGTGGCTTACAACTGTTTCCAAATCCAGTCCCAGGGGACCTGATACCCTCTTCTGACCTCCAAGGATACCAGGCACACACATGGTGAATATATAGACATACATGCAGGCAAAACACCCATACACATACAAATGAAGAAATCTAAAAAAGAAAAGAAAAAACGGTTGGTTTCCCACCTGGAGGATGGGAGTCCTATTTACACCCACGGGGGCAAGGAGCTCGGGAGCTTCTAGGGTAGGGCAAGGCAAACCAGCCGAGAACTTAGGTCTCCAAGAGATATTTTTTTTATCGGTCTTAGAAATTCAGGGCTAGGGGCTGGAGAGATGGCTCAGCAGGTAAAGAGCTTGCCGCACAGCGTCGATCCCCAGCACCCACATGGATGCAGGAGAGCAAAGCAGCTGTCCGTATCTCAGAGCACAGGAGCTGGAGACAAGGACTGCCCTAGCAAGCTGACTAGATTATATATATATTATATAAATCTGCCGAGAGAGAGAGAGAGAGAGAGAGAGAGAGAGAGAGAGAGAGAGAGAGAGAGAAGGGGGTGGATGGAGAGAGGGGGGGGAGAGTGATGCAATCAAGGAAGACACCCAACATCTACCTCTGGCCTCCATACACATCGCACCCGTGTGTATGAGCACACGAGGAAAACCACCTACACACACACACACACACACACACACACACACACACATGAGCAGAAGAAGGAAAGAAGCAAACATCTGTCCAGAGCCCAGGAGACAGCACACACTTACTTGTAGTATGTAGAAAGCAACGCTTATGAACCATTTGATCTTGGCCAACTGAGCTGTCCGTGCTTTCACTGAAAGAAAAACAGTGAAACATGAACGAATCCTGCAAAGTTGAGAAAATACCCAAATACACAGAAGTGATATTTTCCCTTATAAAACATCTTCTAACTGTGAATGAAATGATCAATATACTTAGAAACACCAAACAGGACAAAGTACAACACACAGTATGAAATGCCATGACGAAGCTCCTTATCTGTACGCTAACTCACAGAATCTACAAAGCTGCATCACTAGGCCATCACTTAAGCACAAGCCTACCCGGACTGCACCCTGGACTTCCCGCAAGCCGCTCTTCAGAGACTCTTCCCAATGCACCTGCCGCCTACCAACAGGACTAACACCATCTCCATTCGTAACCCCCAGCAGGAGTCCAGCTCTCCCAGGCCTGCACAGGCCCCTGCCAGTTCTACAGTGTGTGACCTGCTCCACCTTACACAGCCCAGCGGAGCCTCTCAGGACACACTGCTGTCTGGAGGGGTGTGTGTGTGTGTGTGTGTGTGAGTGTGTGTGTGTGTGTGTGTGTGTGTGTGTGTGTGTGTGTGAGAGAGAGAGCGAGAGAGACAGACAGACACACAGACAGACACACAGAGAGACAAAGAGAGTGTGTGTGTGTGTGTGTATGTCTCACTATGTAGCCCTGGCTAGTCTGAAACTCACCATGTAGACCAGGCTGGCCTTGAATTCAGAGACCTGCCTGCCTCTGCCTCAGGGTACCAGGACTCAAGTGTGCACCATCCTTGGTCAGGAGCTGCTCCTTGACATCTCCACACTGTGGGCATGCTCCTGAGAGTGAGACAAAGTACCCTGGACCCACTGTGTGATCTCCATCTGGACTTCCCTCAGCAAATGCCAAACTTGAAAATGAAAATCTAGAGGATGAAGAATCTACGATGACTTCGACAGGAAGCAAATGGTGACCAGCAAAGAGGGAGAAGTGAAGCTACTGTGGAAGATCCTCTACACAACTACCAGGTCTGGTCACTGTACAGCCATCGAGGAAGCAAAGCATGCCCCTCAAATCCACACACCAACGCCCTCCCCAAATCAGCCCTCGTGACGCCTGCCACGTCACGGGTGACTGCAGGGGAAGTACCGTGAGTTTTGAGCTTGTCCGTCATTTTGTTGATCTTCCTTTCCAGCCGGGCATATCTGGCAAATTCATCCATCATGTTCACAGTGGACAGCTCCTGCTTCATGTCCTGGATCTCTGCCCTCATCTGTGACTCCTGCTCTGCATCCTTCTGCAGCACCCTGGAAACCTGGCAGGGAGGAGGCCGGCATCAGTGTCCTTTCACATTCTAGCTCTAACGCGGGGGACCTGCATGTATGTGCTCACCGAGACCCAGCCATTTAACTCTATGGACCCCCTACAGGCTTGAGCCTAAGACAGGCTTTCCGACAGGCCCAGCTACCACATGGTTTAGAGGTGCAGGAAGACACTGGGGGAGTCATATAAATCAGAAACAGCCCTGCAGTCAAACCAGAGCAAGACAACAGCGGCCACCAGGTGGCACCCACCACTCTCCGAACTGTCAGGAGGTGGGCGTGCAGAAAGGCACCTCTTCATCAGATGGAAGCATATACCAGTGTGAGACGCAGCAACACAGCACTGAGGACCCCTCCAAACACAGCAGTGGCTCTGCAGAACAGCCCCCCAAGACTGGGGACAGCAGAGATCACCACAAACACAGTGACACTGGAAAGAAGTTCATCTAACAAGGGGAAAGCGAAGCAAGCTTTCAGACTGGACAATTAACCTTTGCTCACTCACCAAGGCTGTCAACTTACCTTCAGGGGTTCTGGAGGGGGGGGGGACTGCTTTTTAAACTGTATGACTGACTCCTGCATGTGCAGGTTTGTCCAAACTTTTTAATAGCTCTGTTTGTTTTTAAAGAAGAAAAGAGGAAGCATCCAAAGTGTACCTGGCCCACAGCAAGTGTCAACCCCAGCTCAGATGACCTCTCTGCTTGCCACACAATAGGGCAATTGCAGCTACAGCCAGAACCAAACCCTTAACTCCAGTGTCCACACACAGTCCAGGCACACAAGTGGAAGCCCCCTCCAGAGCCCACAGGACAAAGCCCTTAGGCTGGGGCCAGCAGTCCGAGTCATACTGGCGGCTACACAGTGAGCTCACTACCGTGCCATGTCTGAGGCTGGCACAAGGAACAGGGTATGCAAATCAACCTTTCTTTGCTGTTCACTATCCACCGTTCAAACGGAGAATTACTCCAGCCTGGTTCACCCTGGAGATGGAAACGGGAATGGACCAAAGTCTCTAAAAGTCACAGAGGCAGACTGCAGAGACACTCAGTGGTTAACAGCACTTTTTTTTTTTTAAATAGAGGATTGGAGTTCAGTTCCCAGAACCCACATGGTAGCTCACAACCATTTGTAACTCCAGTTCTAGAGAATCCAACGCCCTCTTCTGGATCCATGGGCACCAGGCATGCAGGTGATGATGTACAGACATATGTCATACCTGCAGGCCAAACACCCATACACATATAAAATAATTTTAAATGTCAGACACCATTTTTTTGCAGTTTCTTTTTATTTATTTTTTTATTTTATGTGTATTGGTGTTTTGCCATGACTGTCGAGTCCCCTGGAACTGGAATTACAGACAGTTGTGAGCTGCTATGTGGGTGCTGGGAATTGAACCCAGGTCCTCTGGAAGAGCAGTCAATGCTCTTAACCACTGAGAAACATCTCCAGCTCCCATACATCCTTTTTGTTTGTTTGTTTGTTTGTTTGTTTTTCGAGACAGGGTTTCTCTGTGTAGCTTTGTGCCTTTCCTGGATCTCACTCTGTAGCCCAGGCTGGCCTCGAACTCACAGAGATCCACCTGGCTCTGCTTCCCAAGTGCTGGGATTAAAGGCGTGAGCCACCACTGCCCGGCCTTTTTTTTTTTTTTTTTTTAAGTTACAGAACTATCTTTCAAAAATCAGGGTCTCTATAAAGTCTGCTTGAACTTAAACAGGAAACAGGAGCAAGCTGGGCCTGGAGGTGCACACCCACAGCCCCATCATTTGGGAAGCTTCGGCAGGAGCTGTTCAAAGCCAGCCAGGAGTGCATGGCCACCTCCAGACCAACGTGAGCTGCACACTGGGGCCCACCTCAAAAGAAAAACAAACCATCCTTTAGGTGATTCAGACTCACAAATGCCCTGGAGACAGAACCACCAAGACTCTGAGGCACCAGTTTGTGAATTTTTTATCAAGATGACTCAGGTGGTGGAGACAACCCGAGAAACAGGACAGAATCTAGGCTTCCTTCTTCCCACCCTGCGGGCAGAGGCTAGATGCCTATGGGCAAGTACACTAGCCTCCTGCTGCAATCCTGTTTGGCCAGGATACACTCTGCCTACATGCTTGCCCAAGATTGAGCTTGGAGTCACTCTGGGAAGGGTCAAACCCTGACTCATCACCAATGACCCAAGGGCCAGACGGATCTGAAAGCTGCTGGTATGAGCTGCACAGCCCAGCTCACCAGCCTGGGTGTGTCTCCACACCCATCTCATCTCAGGAAGGGACCTGAGATGAGACCCATACACAGAAAGTCCAGAGGCCTGCTCCTTGGGTAGAGGTCCCTGTCAGCCAAGCACTCCACCCACCAGCCCAGGAACACACCTCTCAGTTGAGGTTCCAGGAGCATATCCTGTTCGGTTGCTATGCCCCAAAATCCTGTCCCAACCAGTCATGGTGACACACACCTTTAATCCCGGTACTTGGCAGGCAGATCCCTGAGTTTGAGGCCAGCCTGTCTAGAGAGTGAGTTCCAGGACAGCCAGGGCTACACAGAGAAACTCTGTCTCAAATAAATACATAAACAAACAAGCAAAAAATAAATAAATAAATAAATATAAACAATAATCCCAAAGAAGGGCCTTGCTGAGAGGCTGGCCTGTAGAGAAAGGGAATACGTGAGGAAAATGCTCCAGATGGTCCCAGAAGTAGCTGGCCAAGGTTTGGAGCAAAAAGCAAAGGGTAACTTGGAAACTGCTGGACGCACACAGTGAGAGAGGTAGGCTGCCCGCCAGGCCCCAGAGGCATGTGTGCACAATGCTACTGCCAGCAAAGTCAGGTCTGTCAGGAAGTTCACACTGGCACCTACATACTGCGACTCAGGCCCTCACCCCATCTCTGCCAGGCCAGTTCCTTGGGCATCTGAACATCAGACCCTCATCTCAGAAGAGCCTCACCCCACCTGTACACGTCAGTTCGGGGGCACCTGAGCAGTGTGCCTCCCGTGGAGGTGCACAGTGCATCCTATGTCCCCTTCTCTTAGGACAACACTGGGTCCCCTACTTTATATTCAACAGTCTCAACTAGACATGCTGTGACCAACATCAAGGGAACCTCAGAACAATCCCAGCCAGGCCAACCACAGGCACCGGCACCACCCGCTCAGAATCACAGTGAGGAAGGCTACATTCTGAACACCTAGACATGGTGCTGTCATTCCAACCCAACCACCTTGTCATCAATTTGTCACACTTGGTCTTTCAAACCAGAAGCAGGGCATGGGAATGCTCTCACCATTGTGGGGAGCAGTATTTTGGCATCCTTATACCAGGGTGTTCCCAATAGCTCCCTCACTGGAAACCCAGCAACCAGACAAATGAGATCTCTCACTCCTCTTCCCTGTTCTGAACACCAATTACAGACGGGCTGTACTCCGCTACAGTATTAATCATGCATTATCCTTCCGGACCCAGCAACCACCCCAGGTGTCACTACCAAAGGGTTTGGTAGTGGATTCAAGGCGGTGTACCTCCTGCAGGAACAGCACAGAACTCGGTGCAGGCCCAGGTCAAGTCCAGGTGCTTCCTCCAAACAATGATGCCTATGCACCCAGGGTAAACACTCAGGACTCAAACAGAACACACACAAGTCTTGTAAAAGTATACTGGAGGATCCTGAGATGAGGACCAGACATACATCTCCTCCCTATCTGCTAGCTACTGGAAACTCATGACAAATTGAGCGAGGACAGCCCCACACAGCCTCCTTGAGCAACTGAGTTGTTTCCTGAGCTCCACTGTGAGGTAAAATGGAGTGAGACACAGGATGGAAGGAGAAGGAACCACACAAAGGCAGGGAGGTGGCCCAGTGGTTAAAGCTATTGCTGTACATGCATGGGGAAGCCACCTAAAAGGTGGGTGTAGATGCCCCTCTGTAATTCCAGCCTTGGAAGATGGAGACGGGATCCCCACAGCAAGCTAGCTAATGAGACTAGCCCTATCAGTGTGCTCTGGATTTTACTGAGAGACCTTGCCTCAATGAATAAGACAGAAGAAGAGTGACCAAGGACTATCCCTGATATCGACCTCAGCCTCTATTTGTGTGCACCCACACACACATACATGTGCCTGTACATACACAAAAACACACATACACACACACTCAATGAGACGGAAAAATAAAACTACACAAGGAACCAGAATGAGAACTCACATAACCAGGAGGGGTTGCTGTCCCGACCCGTGAGGAACTCTAACTACCAAAACAAACACATGGATTACAGGGGGGGAAGGACTAGAGGCTTCTCTGGGAAGACGTGAAGACGGAGGTTCAGTCTCTCCCACCAGCCGCCCACACAGATGGATGCTAGGATCCCAAATGTGTAGATGCACCAGTTAGGTGCTCTCCACTCTAACCTGCAGACGGGGTCAACTCCCACAGTCACCGCTTCAAATCCGTCACAAGTTACACGGGCCAGCTACATGTTAAGAGTTCCAAAGACCCTTCCTCCGGCCCCGCTGACTTGCACAGCTCACAAATCTCAGGGAAACGTTCTTGTTCACAAAGTTTATCACAAAGAATGTTTTCCAGGGCTATGGGTACAGGCTGTGGAGATGGTTCAGTGGTTAAGCACACTTGCTCCTCTTGCAGAGAACCTGGGTTCCCAACACCCATGTGGCAGCTCACACCATCTGTAACTCAGTTCCAGAGGATGTGACGATCTCTTCTGGCCTCCACAAGGCAACCGCATTCACATGGTACACGTACATACAATCGGAACATACACATAAAATAATAAATAAATCTTTCATAGCTACAGATTGGGGAGAGAATGGAGAGATAACCCAGTAGTTAAAAGCACTAGCTGCTCTTGCAGAGGACCTGGGTTCAGCTCCCAGCACCGACATGGTGGTTCACAACCATGATTCCAGTTCCAGGGGATCCAATGCCCCTCCTCTGGCCTCAAAGGCACTGCACACATAGGATGCACTTACATGCAGGCAAAACACACATACACATAAAAATTAAAATTAAAAAGAAACACGAGTGAGCAGGAAGGGTATGTCCTATTTAGATTCTTCTGTAGTGTTCCTTCTTCCCATGGAGAGAGCAGAAGGGGAGCTCCCTGCAGCCGGGGATCTGCCGCTCCAGGGCCAGGCACCTGTGAGGATGCATGGCTGGGCTGCATCATGGAAGTAGGGTTAACAGCATGTCCGGCCTGAGGCTTCCTGCTGCCAGAAAGCGTGGCTCCGGGAGTCCCCACCCTCCAGAGCGCAGTGAGTGGAGTTATTTGGTTGGAACCTCGCGACCTGTTAGGAGCTAGGAGCCACCTGACGGTATAAACCTTGCAGCACACACCCGGCAAGGCCCGGCGTCCCGGCCTCGGCCGCCCCCCGGCAGCTACTTACGAAGGAGGAAAGGGACGGCAGGAGGATCCGCAGCACGTTGCACCCGAACACGAAGCTCAGCACCAGCAGCCACGCCCCGCGGTCCGCCTCGGACGCGCTCATCCCGGCTCCCACGCACCAGCACCGCTACTGCAGCGCCATGGGGACCAGGGCGCCGCGCCCGCCTGCGCCTGCGCCCTGCAGCGGCGCTCCGCTACGGCGGCGCCCGGGAGACGGCGTCGTCGACTGCGCCTGCGCCGGTGCACCGCGGCTACGGCAGCACCATGGGAACCGAGCCGCCAGCGGCTCCCGCGCCTGCTCATTACACCTCCTCTCGGGGACCGTTCGGGAGTTGCTCCTTCCCGGCTACCGTAGCCACGTGGTACCTGTACCAGGCGAGGAGGCTGAGCTGGTTTAGCAAACTGTGATTGCATTGCGCTGTTTGTAGTATCTGGGAACTATTTATGTTCTTACTGAATTAACTCACCTTTATTACTTTTTTGTTGTTTTGTTGTTTTTGTTTTTGTTTTTCAAGACGGGGTCTCTCTGTGTATCCCTGTCTGCCCTGGAACTCGCTCTGCGGACCAAGCTGGCCTCGAACTCACAGAGATCCGCCTGCTTCTGCCTCCCGTGCGCCACCACCGCCAGGCAACTCACCTTTATTCTTAAATTTATCTTACGATAAGCCTTTGCATGAATAGAAACCTACTTCATCGTAGCAGGTAACTAAAAAATGTCTTCTAATCAGTTGTTTCATGAAAAATGGCTCGTCTACATTTTTTTAAACTAAACACTAGTAAACACGAACAAGGTATAGAATTGTATTCCTAAAAATAAATTATTAATCAAAAGAGACCACTTACTGCCTGATTGAGACTTGCCAACCATGTGTGGAGTCTTAGGTCCCATCAGCACAAAAGAAGAAAAGAAAAAACGTTTTGGTTTTACAGTGAGCTTTTAATAAAATTACCAAAATTGGCCTGTTGCCTGCAAGATGTAGCACTCTCGTCACCAGCACCACGTCTGCCTGCACACCATCATGCTCCCGGTCATGATGAGAATGGACTGAACCTCTGAAACCCTAGGGTCGGGGATAATACAGGCTGGCCTCAAACCCTCCGGGTAGCTGATGACGATGCTGAACTTCTGCTTACACCTCCCAAATACGGGGACGACAAGCGTGCCTGGCTAAAATTCAGAAGCTTGTCTCTATGCCTAGTTACCTTCCTCTGTGTCAAAGTGAGAACGCTGTGGGAAGGGCTTCCGAATGCTTGGAGGGAGACACGTAAGACCTATTGTCAAAGCCTTGACCTGGCAGTCAGAATAAAACCGAAGTCCCCTTTACTGATCCTTGTTCACTCCCTCTGGTTAGACAACCTTCGGAAGGAACTACAAAAGTTTTGTCTGCTTGCTTTTCTCTCAGATATTCTTTGAAGTGTCAAGAGAAATTAAGTTTTGTAAAAGAATGTTGTGTTTTCAGCCCCTTGGAAAAAAAATTACCAAAATTAAACAATAATGAATATAACAAAAAAAAAAGATTCACTTACATATGGTGAGTAAAGTGATAAAATGAAAGATAATTGACTGTCTTTTCGGCCATGTTAGATTCTGAGAATGAGTAACTGATAGAAATAATGACTAGTTCTGCACATTTTAGTTGCAAGAAAACGTGACACACACTTATCTACCATTAGCCCCACCATATAGAATAAGACCACTACCATAATTTAAAGCCAAATTTGAAGCAAGCTTTAATTAAATACTGGCCAGGTAGATGGGCTCTGGCCAGGTCCGTCTTTGGGTTTCCAGAAGATGACCCCAAATCAGGGTTCATAGTGGCTTAGGTATTTCCCACCAGGTCTAATCAGGGGTACGCATATATCCTGACGTACTTCAAGCCTACATCCAGTCAGAAGCAAACATACACTCTGACATATTTCCTGCCTGGAACCTCCCACCCACATGTCATCAAGCACATCCAGTGAGATGGCTCAAACAAACTTATTTAGGGGATTGGGAAACATATGACTTGTTATCTCCCATAAACAGTAGTCTCCAACATTTCAGGAACTATCTGTCCTTGAGCAAGAGGCTTGCAGATCAGAGGCATTTTTGTTTCATGGATCTCTTAGGCATAATAATTAAAACTTAAAATGTAACTTCGGCTCTCACACTACCAGCAGTAGTGGAATGAATTCTCTCCATGAAAAGGCATGCTGGCCAGTAGACTCCAGCATGATAAGCTTCCCTGACAGCTAGACTACCTAAGGCTGCAGGCAGGCTGCCAGGTCCTGCACACACTGGAGCTTTAGACGGATTTGGAGTGACCACCTCAGGAGAAATGATGGCAGTGGTATCCATGTCTCCTTCTCTCCACAACTACCCCCCACTCCACCATGCCTGCTGACTCTTCAACCCCAGGTATCAACACTGCAGTCCCCACCCCATCCACCTATCATACCATCCCAGGAGGACCACTCTGTTCCTGGTGAGGCAAATGTTGACAAAGTTACAGGTGAAGATCCTGTAGTAGATGCAGCTGAGATGGGTAAGACAAGCTTGTCCTAGCCTTCAGGAGCAGCTCAGCTTAGTTCCTGTGGGCCACTGTCAGTGCTCAGGTGAAGACTGAGTTCTATTATGTATAAAAGAAAGTGTAAAAGCATGTGGTATTGTATTCCCCCAAAATATTGTGTACCCTAATAAACTTATCTGGGGTCAGAGAACAGAATAGCCACTAGACAGACATAGAGTCCAGAAAATGGTGGCATGCACACCTTTAATCCTAGCCTTCTGGAGGCAGAGATCCATTTGGATCTCTGTAAGTTTAAAGCCACACTGGAAACAGCCAGGCATGGTGACTCACGCCTTTAATCCCAGGAAGTGATGGCAGAAGGCAGAAAGGTATATAAGGCGTGAGGACCAGGAACTAGGCGGGTTAAGTATGCAGGCTTTCGAACAGCAGTTCAGCTGAGAGCCATTGGGATGAGATCACAGAAGCTTCCAGTCTGAGGAAACAGGATCAGCTGAGGAACTGGCGAGGTGAGGTAGCTGTGGCTTGTTCTGCTTCTCTGATCTTCCAGCATTCACTCCAATACCTGACCTCAGGTTTGATTTTATTAATAAGACTCTTTAAGATTCATGCTACAAAAGCATCAGCCAAGATCTGGTACAAGTTGTGATAAGCAGAACTCCTAATGATATCTTGCTTATTTGTTAATTCTGCCAAGGTTCCTCCATCTGTATTCTTGCTGAGGCCATCTCAGGTTTAACTAAAATTTGACCTCCTCGATGAGAATCCCATGGAAAATGACCCAGAATGACCTTCTGGGAACCCAAGGCCGAGATGTCCCAGCTGACTTGCTTCTCTTAAACTGCCTGCCTGTGCACATCTCCCCCTCCTGCCCATCAAGAGGTGCTAACACATGGTTTATGCCTTCTAAAATCCCCTGCTCTGGGCACTCAGTGCTACACTTAGGTCCAAATACCTGAGTGTAGTCTTAGCTGGTTGGAATAAAGATTTTCAACTGGCTATAAACTGTGTTTGAGTGGTCATCTCTGGTGGGCTCCCCTTAACGCTGTAATAAATTACCACACATTTAGTGCTTGAGTTTGCGTAAATTTATTATCTTATAGGTCTCAGAAATCTGAAGTACATCTCACTGGGCTAAAAATAGGCTGTCTTCCTTCTGGAATCCCTAAACTAGAGTCCATTTTCTAGTTTTTTCCAGCATTGGATGCCAGCACTCTGGCCTCATGGCTCTCATCCATCTTCAAAACTGGCCATCACAGCACTCTGCCATCATTCCTGCTTCCCAATTTCCTCTTTCACTGAATTCACTAATGAATACGCTGGATCCAGGTGGGTGACCAAAGATAATCTTCCAGGCTAGAGACGTTTAAACCAGGTGGGTAGGGAAGCATATGCATATATAATCCAAGTGAAAGGACCAAGCAGATGCCATAACAGACTGCTCAGTCCTTGTAGTAGCTCCCTTTCTGCACATACTCTGACTGCTTAAGGTTCATCCAGTTGTTTTCTGTCTGGGACCCCTCACCAACTTAGAGCTACGTGCATGGGTCAGTGTGAACATGTGAGGCCAGCCAGCCCCCATGGCAGCTGAAGGACAGAGACTGGGACTCGTCCAGGCCTGCCCAAAAATGATAACTGTAACCCCCAACCAGTAAATTCAAAGGTTACACAGCCTCACCCAAACATGTGACACCAAGGCTTGTACCACCCTGTTTGCAGGTTTTTCCCTTTAAAAACCCCTCACCCTAACAACATGAAGACAACTTGTGAACGTTGCTTCTCTCCTTTCGTAACGTGGGTCCTGTGGATTAATTAAGCACAGGTCATCAAGCTTGGCAGCAAGTGCCTCTACACACAGCCGTTTCTTTCATTCCCAGCCCTGTGCTTTCTCGACACCAAGGTCCAGTTGGTTCCCACAGGGGCTTCTGCTGTGGGGAAAATTCCATCTGTAGACCACAGCAAGCCTAGGCTTCCCACCGTTTGGAAAGCAGACTTAGACTCGTAAGAATAAATACCCCTATGTGGATGAAAAAAAAAAAAAAAAAAAAAAAACCCCTCACCCTGAGAGCTCAGGGCCGTCCTCCTCCACTGCTGTGTCAGGTGTTGGACGCGGACAAGTCCGAGCTTGCTTGTTATCAATAAACCCCAGTGTGTTTGCATTGGATATCGGCTCTTTGGTGGTCTTGTGGGGGGGGTGTCTTGCGACGCTGCCACAACACAACACAAGCACTCAAGATGTGGAAGCACAGGAGGGCTGGAGAGATGGCTCAGCGGTTAAGAGCACTGGCTGCTCTTCTAAAGGTCCTGAGTTCAATTCCCAGCAACCACATGGTGGCTCACAACCATCTATAATGAGGTCTGGTGCCCTCTTCTGGCCTAAAGGCATACATGCAGGCAGAACACTATGCATAGTAAATAAATTAATTAATTAAAAAAAAGATGTGGAAGCAGAAAGATTAAAAATTCAAGATCTGGCCTGCCGGCAGTGGTGCACGCCTTTAATTTCAGTATTTGGGAGGCAGAGGCAGATGTCTCTCCGAGTTGGAGACCAGCCTGGTCTACAAAGTGAGTCTCAGGACAGCCAGGGCTACTCAGAGAAATCCTGTCTGTAAAAACCAAAGGGGGAAAAAGTTCAAGGTCATCTTTGGGGTACAGAGACTTGAAACCAGTCCA